ATTTTTATAGGAATTGCTTTGAATGTGTCGATTGCTTTGGGTAGTATTGACGTCTTAACAATATTTGTTCTTCTAATCCATGAGCATGGAATGTTTTTCCATTTCTTTTTGTCTTCTTGAATTTCTTTCATAGACTTTGTATGGTTCTTTTAATTTTTTAAAAGTTTATTTATTTTTGAGAGAGGGAGAGAGAGAGAGAGAGAGAGCATGAGCAGGGGAGGGGCAGAGAGAGAGAGGGAGAGGGAGACACCGTCTCTGAAGCCGGCTCCAGGCTCCAAGCTGTCAGCACAGAGCCCATCGCAGAACTCAAACCCACAAATGCGGGATCATGACCTGAGCCGAAGTCGGCGCTTAACCGACTGAGCCACCCAGGCGCCCCTCTATTGTTTTAAGTGTACTGATCTTTTACCTCTTTGGTTGGGTTTATCCCTGGGTATTTTATGGTTTTCAGTGAAGTTGTAAATGAGATCAATTCCTTGATTTCTCTTTCTGCTGATTCATTATTGGTGTATAGAAATGCAATCAACTTCTGTATATTGATTTTGTATCCTGAGACTTTCCTGAATTCCTGTATCAGTCCTAGCAGCTTTTCAGCGGAGTCTTGGATTTTCTATGGAGAGTATCATGTACGCAAAGAGGAAAAGTTTGACTCCTCCTTGCCAATTTGGACACCTTGTATTTCTTTTTGTTCTCTGATTGCTGAGGCTAGGACTCCCAATGGTATGTTGAATAACAGTGCTGAGAGTGGACATCCCAGTCGTGTTCCTGACCTTAGGGGGAAAGCTCTCAGTTTTTCCCCATTAAAGATGATATTAGCTGTGGGACTTTCGTATCTGGACATTCTGATGTTGAGGCATGATCCTTCTATCCCTCCTTTCATGAGTGTTTTTTTTTTTTCATCAAGAAAGGATGCTGCATTTTGTCAAATGTTTTTTCTGTATCTATTGAGAGGATCATGTGGTTGTCATCCTCTCTTTTATCAATGTGATGTATCGCATCAGTTGATTTGCAGATATTGAATGAGTTGTGCATCCCAGGAGTAAACCCCACTTCATTGTGGTGAATAATTCTTTTTATGTGTTGTTGGATCCGGTTTGCAAAATTTTGTTGAGAATTTTTGCATCCAGGTTCATCAGGGAAATTGGTCTGTAGTTTTCCTTTATAGTGAGGTCTTTGTCCAGTTTGGACTCAAGGCCATGCTGGCCTCATAGAATGAGTTTGGAAGTGTTCCTTCCATTTTTCTGGCCATGACCTTATGTTGTTGTTGTTGTTGTTGTTGTTGTTGTTGTTGTTGTTTCACTTGGGATGCATTCCTCTTGTCTTGGCATTTTGGCTGAGTATTTGCCTTCTCTGTGTTACAAAAGCTCATTATGTTACCTGCCTGTGAGATGAATGGGTTTATGAAGAGGAGGTCATCTAGTGTCCAGGGCCTGGCATATCAGGGAGTGTCTGCGGCGTGTGTTTCATGCACTGTTTTGCGTTCTGGCTGCACTATCCTTCAGGCCCATTGTATGGGCAATGTATGGTCCTTGGCCAGAATCTGGTGAGTTTTATCTAGGTCTGATCCGATCTGCTTGTTAAACGAGACTTGAAACGACTGCCACTGGAAGTGAAGCCCTGCACAACTCTGTTCAAGAGAGGTGGTGTGTTCAGGGGTTTCTGCTGGTCTTCTAGGGAAGCGGCCAGCTCCATTGGGACTGAGGCAAGCTTGACAGGGAGGTGGGGCTTGGTCTAAGCGTGTTAGGCAGCCAGTGTGGGAATTGCCTTGTTTCCAGTGGGTGGCTCTGTGTTTATGCTGGGGGGGGGGGCAGAGCAGGGAAATGGCGTCACACAGCTCCTCTGTACCAGCTCCTTTGTCTCCTCATTGTGAACACTGACTCACAGGGATGCTCTCCAAGATGAGTGTATAATCTCCCCACTGTGTGCACCTGGTGTTGTACAGATCACTGTTTCCATGCCATCTGCCTGCAAGTAGTTTGCTCCCTTCTCTTCAGGAGTATGCCAATGCCCTCAGGGCTGTATCCCAGCCATGCCTGCTAACCTTTGAAACTCCACATTCTCGGGTGCCAGCATGGCTTGGTGAAGTGTCTGACTCTTGATCCTGGCTCAGATCGTGACCTCGTGGTCGTGGGATTCTCTCTCTCCCCCTCTTCCTGCCCCTCCTTGCATGTGCTCTCTTTCTCTCTCTCTCTCAAAATAAATAAACTTAAAAAAAATTAGTGGCATGGAATACCTTATTTAGGCAAGATTTCCTCCCTGAGGGGAATGGCAGGGGTCTATCAGTTAAATTTCCAGTACTGACTAGGAAATTGTTTGTTGACTGGTTAAAGGTTACATTCCTGCAGGAATGAAACTAGGTTTGGTGACACGGGGCCTTAACGTAAGTAACTCCATGATGGGCCTGTAATTTTTCTTAACATTCCAACCCCAAATTTCTACACATCCATTTTTTAGTAGAAATACAGCCCTAAATAATATTTTAGCCATCTACTGCTGGCCCTTCTTTTCAGATCCTGTGAAACTATGACCATCTCCTAATCATAGACGAAGATCAACTCTGTGGCTCTAAGATCTTTGTGGCTCTCAGTTACTTTGATCTATGTTACTAAGATCTTTGTGAGTCTAAGTTACTGATGGACGTTTGAAATCTTTGACCCAAGGGCGCCCAGCCAGGTTGCTGAACCATCACTTAGGCACAGAAGCACTCTTTCCAAGCCACCTCTTCCTAAAGCGTTGTCTTTCCCTCTTGTACTTCTGGGTCTTACCCTTTGGCAAGCCACTTATCCTCACGTGCAAACGTGTCAAAGTGGCCCGGAGAAAGCTGCTTGCCTGTGACTGCCACTTCATGGTCACATCTTTTCCTTCTGAAACCCTTTGAACTCCCTATCATTCTTCCAGTCTTTGAATATCTCTTTGATTTGGAAATATTTGATTCTCTTGTATTCCTGCTAAAAATATGCATGAAAATATCAAAGCAAGGATTCTTTACCATAAGCGAGCCAGTCACAATGATCCATCTGGCCGTGTGTACATCTTTTTTTGACAATGTTCAGGCATGATGTGAAGTACATCCTGTAAAATCTGAGTATCACTCATTATCCAGGATAACCACCTTTATGGAAAGCCATTCAATGACATGCTCGTTCAAGATCAGAAAATCACTTAATTTACATACCACATAATACAGTGGTATGTACATACGGTATTATCTTAAATATGTAAAGTAGATGTTGCTATGAATTGTATGTCATTGTGCATTTGGTTTTCTGTACCATGAATGCTATTATTTGAATTAAACAATAGTAAGTACAAGAATAGGTACATGTCAATCACTAGTAACTAATACTAGCACTAGTTATATATGTTGAAAAAATGAAACCATGATTACTAATAATCTTTTCTTTCATGAGGGTTTCTAGTTACAAAAGAAAATTGAGAAGAAAGTACTGAATCTCCACATACATCAGACTGTTTTCTATTGATGTCATATGAGTTGGTACATGATCACAATCAATATCCCAAAGAGATATGGTAGTGTTAACTAAAGTATATTTTTCCTCAGATTTCTTCGGTTTTAACCTCTCCTGCTCCAGACTCATCTAAGCTGGCACATTACATTCAGTCATCCTGTCTCCTTAGGCTCCACCTGGTCACGACGATTTTTAGATTTTCCATGTTTTTCATAATCTGCAAAGTTTTGAGGGTACATTTGTAGCATGTATTTTGTAGAATGATCCTTGGTTGGGATATGTCTAATGTTTGTTCATATGCTCAGGCCAGAGTTAATGTGTTTTGGTGTAGATCCAGAGGCATAGTGCCATCCATAATTACCACTTCACATAAAGGATGTTTACTCTGAGCATTGGGGTCTTTTGTGGTTCCATACACATTTTAGGAGTGTTCTAGTTCTGTGAAAAATGCTGTTGGGTATTTTGATGGAGATTGCATTAATTTTGTCAATTGCTTTGGGAAGTATAGACATTTTCACAATATTTGTACTTCTGATCCATGAGCATGGAATGTCCTTCCATTTCTTTGTGTCATCCTGAATTGTTTCATCATTGTTTTATAGTTTTCAGAGTATAGGTCGCTCACCACTTTGATTAGATTTATTCATAGATATTATTTGGTGTGCAACTATAAACGGGACTGTTTTCTTAATTTCTCTTTCTACTGCTTCAGTATTGTTTAGAAATGCAACAGATTTCTGACAATGATTTTGTATCCTGTGACATTGCTGAATTCATTTATCTGTTCTAGCAGTTATTGACTGGACTCTTTGGGGTTTTCTATATATAGTGTCATGTAATATGCAAAGTGTGAAAGTTTCACTTCTTCCAGATTTGGATTTGTTTAGTTTTGTCTGATTGCTGTGGCTTGGACTTCCAGTGCTATGTTTATGAAAAATGGTGAGAGTAAACATCCTTGTCTTCTTCCTGACCTTACAGGAAAAGCTCTCAGATTTTCCCCACTAAGGATGATGTTAACTATGGGGTTTTCATAGATAACCTTTATTACATTGCTGTATGTTCTCTGTATACCTACTTTAGGGGGTTATAATCATGAATGGATGTTGTACTTTGTCCAATGCTTTTTTCTGCATGTATTTATATGACTGTATTTCTTTTGAAATATTCATTTTTGAAAGAGACAGAATGTGAGAGGGGTAGCGGCAGAGAGAGAGGGAGACACAGAATTTGAAGCAGGCTCCAGGCTCTGAGCTGTCAGCAGAGAGCCCAACGCAGGGCTTGAATCATGAACCATATGGTCATGACTTGAACCAATGTCAGACGCTTCAAGGAATGAGCCACCCAGTAGCCCTGATCATATAGTTCTTATCCTTTCTCCCAGTGATGTAATGCATCACAGTGATTGATTTGTGAATATGGAACCACCTTGCAGCTTAGTATTTTTTGCTGGACTGAGTTAGTGGTACAAACTCCTTTAGTTTTTGTTTGGGAAACTGTCTCCTTCTATTCTGAATGATAGCCTTGCTGGATAGAGTATTCTTGGCTGGTGATTTTTCCATTCAGCACTTTGAATATGTCATGTCACTTCCTTCTGGCTTGCCAAGATTCTGTTGACAAATCTGTTGCTGTGCTTTGGTGTTTGGGGACATGTGGCTGTGTGAGACAGATAAGGGTAGCTGGGGGTGCACAGCTGGGTACGGTGCAGATGTGTGCAGTGGCAGCTTTGCCTACAGCTGGCCAGACAGGGTGCCCATGTGGTTTTAAAAAAGTTTGCCCCAAGGCCAGCAGGCTTTGAGTGGGCGAGTCCCCTAGAGAACTCTTGGGACTGGCACAAAGCTAGCACGTTAGGTAGCAAGTGTCTTTGTAGGTCCAATTCCTGGTAGGTGCCTCTGTGCTTAATCTGGGGGTGGGGGTTGGGGTTAAAAATGGTGCCTGTGAGCTCCCTCATTTTTGGAAAAGTCCCCCAACCACTCAGAAGTCAGCAAGAACAGATCTGCCTCCTGTTGCCTTGGCATTGTGTAAAATGCCATGTGTACATTGCCTCTCTACACAGGTAGGGACCTGGTTACACTCATCCTCCTAGATCACCCAGTGCTGGGTCAGCTGATCTCCAAAGCTCCAGGAACCAAACTCAAGGGAATTCAGCCCCTCTGGGTTTTACAGCCAAATGTTCTGGGGATTAGTCTTCCCTGTGTCAGCTCCCTGTTGTGAGGGCTCACTTTCTCTGTCTTCTCTGCAGGCAGCCAGCCTCCACCTTTCTGACCTTCCTAACCTTTCTGATGAAGCTTCTCTCTATTTAGGTGGGGGGTTTGTTCTGCCAGTCTTTGGATAGCTCTCTGGTTCATGGACTTGGATGTGTATGTTATGTAGTTGAACACATGGGACAGGGTGAGCTCAGGGTCCTCTTACTCTATTAATTTTTTTAAATGTCTTATTATTTTGGAGTTTTGAGACATGGGCAGACAGACTCATATCACCCATGCACTTCAGGATTAGAAAGGAACGTTCCCACATTTTCTTCTAGTATTTTATGTTTTGAAACTCTCTTTAATGAGGTATAATTTACATATAACAAATAGCCTCAAGTTAAAGGGTATAATTTGATGAGACTTGATCTCATGGATACAGCACCATGAAATCATATGGTTTCTCTCTAAACCTTAAATCATGATCCCTTTGTGTCTAGCACTTATGTTGCTTTTGAAGTAAGGACTAATTTTTTTTTTTTTTTTTTACGTTTTCAGATATTGCCCAGGTGTCTGAATGCCTGCACTGGGGTACCTACCTCCTTTTCTGATAGACTGTATTCCTGTAAGTATTGCGGTCAGTCTACCCTTGGACTTTATCCTGTGTTGTATCTTTCAGTCTGTTCACTTAATTTTGTTGCAGTACTTTAATGTTGAGGGATTCATAATTGGATTGATTTTCACTAAATGGTATGAGCCGCAGTTCCAATCATGACAAAAAGTATGCGCTTCCTGTGTTAGGTACTCAAGAGCAGGGCAGACATCCTGGACTCTTGAGCTGAGAATGTCACTCCTTTTGCTGGCCCTCTTCCCTACCCTTGGAGACAAGAGTCTCCTTTTGGTCACACAGAAATGTAGGTGAAGTCAACAGACAAGCGTCCCTTCTCTTTTCTTCCCTTTGTCTCTCAAACCCCCTGTCGCTACCTTCTGCCTGTTCCTTTCTCAGACTCAATCCCCCAGGTCCACTGCTCCAATCCAGCTGTGATCAGGGTGTCCTCCAGCTGCTGGTCTCTGCCCTGTCCATCCATCAGTGAGGAAACTGCAAGAGGATTAGGTAGTTCATGGGTCAGATCAAGAAATCTCTGCTCCTCAGAGCCCTCCTACACGTGGTGTAGTCTGTGGAGACCTGGCATTCTGGGCGAGGGTCTGACTCCATGTGTGGCCTCCTCACTCCTCTCCCAAAGTCACTGCTCATCCCTCATCCTTCCCCACCATTAGAACTCAGCCATTTCCTAGGACAGATACCTGTCTATCTGACCCCGAGGCACCAGGGAGTCAGTGAATATTTCTAAAATAAATTAGCATAAGCACCTCAACAATCTAGATATAGGAAGTTCCCATCACCCTGGAAAACTCCCTCAGGCTCCCCTGCATAAAGGGTGATCTTGCTTCTATCCTCTATCATCACCATTTCTGCCAGTTTGTTACCTGTGTGTACAGGAACCCCACTGTGTGCACTCAATGGGGAGTGAGAGTAGATGGTCCTAGAAGCAGACGCTGACACAGAGACAGAATGGTGAAAGGTGGATTAGGGGACAGTAGGAAGGACAAAGTGGAGGTGACATGATGGGCAGGGAAAGCATTCAGGTAGATCTGATACGTTCTTAAAATGTATATATAATCACCATAGTCTGTCACCGTGCACAGTCCTCTTCAAATTTCAAAGTGATTGTCCTATAAGGCAAAGAGATTTTGGTTTATTTCCCTCTGATCTTATATTTTTCTACATGCATTCTGTCTTCTGTAGTTTATCTGTGGCCTCAGATGAACACTTTAGTGTGTGGCTGCATCTGTGAGATTATATGTAATGGAAAATGATTGTCTTCAGATCTAGATCTCTGAAGGTACACATTCTCATAATTATCTTTTCTTTCTTTGTGTGGCAGGGCCTGAATTTTAATAGAAAAACGAGGGACCATGTCTTATTGTTTAAAATAGTGATTCCCACTCCCTGGGCTGAGTTGTTAACAGTCCTAGTTTAATGAACTTCCAAGACCATCTTTTTTGGAGGATCACTGTGTGGAGATATCTTAATTGAAACTGTAAGAAGCGTGAGGGGACACTTCCCAGAGATTTTGCAGATGCTTTATGCACTGAATGTCTTCTTTTTCTCTTGTTCTTAGGAACAAATATTACCCCTGTTTTCACAGATAACACAGCTGAGGCTCTGTGTAGGTCCTAGGGCTGAGACAACAGGAACACAGGCAAAGCCTCAAGATATTGTGAGAGAAGTTTGAGGAGATGCAAAGCTGTAGTCATGGTGATGACAGGATTCCAGCGGGGATGGCTTCTGGCCAACCCAGAATTGTAGGTTGACCCGTGCTGAAGGCCAGTGCAGGCACTCAGCTGATCTAGATCTTGTCTCCACTTTTAGTCTCATGGAGGGATATGAACTTGGGCATACAAAAATTTTCATAAGGCCAAGTTAAATTCCCCATATCTCTTGGGAATTTTTCCCCCACAAATATCCAGAACCTTCAGGAAAATCCAGGGAGACAACAATCTTTTTAGATGATTACCTGCGTGCACTTTGGCAACACACTGACATTTTGGAGATGAACACTGCATTGTGCACTGAGAGTGATCCCACATAGCAGCTCTGTGTGGACCTCACACTCCCTGCTCAGGCTGTGGCCAGGAATGACCTCCAACTGCATCTCACTGACCCCAACACCCTCCCCTCTGCACCTCCTCAAACTCTTACTGTCCTCAACTTCCCTTCTATTCCTATATGATTCAAGGTTTCCCCGTTTTTGCACTGGATCCTTCAGTGGTGCTTCCATTATGGTGATCACAAGGTTTGCATCATTTAATGCATGTCCCTCTTTCACACAGGACACCTGATGCTCTAAAAGTTAGGGGTGCGCCTCATTCTTTACAGAACCCAAAACATTGTGTCTCCAAAATAAGCACCAGTACTGCTGATACGTCTGCTTTTGCATAAAAAAATCCTCTTTCATTTTGACAAGAAAAACATATAGCTCACCGTATTACAGGGAAATGACACTGCCTATTGTATGTATGTCCTGAGAAACTTGAGATATGCTACAGTGTCCTCAGGCAGATTATAGTTGGATTTCCAAGACTCACAACCATCTCTACATCATTGCCACAAAGTCAATCGTGAAGATGAATATACTTTACCAGCCACTCATTCAATTCAGGTCATCTTAACAAATAGAATAGGTGGAGGAGCTGGTGGAGGAGGGGAATGTGGCCTATAGCCCATGACTGGTGGTGAAGGGTGGTGCTGGGGTACAGCCTGCAAGGCGATCCTGGGAAAGGACAAGGCCCTCTTGCATACATAATAGCCTGTGGAAAAGAAATGAGAGGTATGTTCATAGGACAGAACAGAGCACCAACACCAGCAAAAAGCAGAAGCCCAAAGAAGTAGTGCTCATATCCTACTAGCTTCCCCACCACCAGGTTCCAAGATGGCAACATCAGCGCCAAAATGTCTACCCATACTTTGGGTTCCACTTACAGCTTTGGAGTGGGGAATGGATGTTATTGGGATAAACTAGTGTCTCCACATGTCTGGAAATGTAGAAACATCAAGGGCTCTTTTCCTAGAAGATTTATAGACTGAATACCAAATTAACAAAGTAGCATATTCCAGATAGGAAGGCATCTATGTCCAGGATCACCCTCCACCCTTCGTCCCCCTCCACCACAGAGGCTGCTTATTGTGTATGTGAAGAACTACAGAATGAGAAGGAATGACAATCCCAGTCTCCACACATGGAATCATAGCCATCGTGGCTCAAAGCTCTGACTCTAAGCCCCTGCCTATGCCCAATCTACTTCTGTCCTGACAATGGGGTCTCCTCCTCTCTGGAAGTGCTATCCATGGGCACAGAGACCCATGGGGAGATGGGGATCCTGAGGTCATGCAGAGGACCTGGGAAAGCATGCTCTTAGAGAAACAGGTAACCTATACATGTTAGTTGGGTTCAGCTAATTTATTTTAATTCAGAGGTACTTCTCAGCTTAAATACAGTATATTTTGCAGGGTAACTATGTCCTCTGGAAAAGTGAGCTGAAATTCTAAAAGACAAAATTAACACAAATGCACTTTGATTTCTGGTGTAAGTTTCCATGTTTTAGCTGTACCTGTGACACAGGATACGAGAGAACATGCTCATGTGAACACAAGTGAAGGACACGGTGGGGACTTGCCATACAGGTAATTTTTTTCTCTTCACAACTTAAGTTTCAGTGCATGTTTTCTATGAAAAGTATGCCACCTCTTATAGGTCAGAGTATTTATGCCCAGGGCACACTTGAAGGGATTCTGGACAGCATGTTTACCAAAATGCTGATGGGTATAAAATTTATTTTGTCTAAGACCATTCTAAATGACACATACAAAAATATAAGTTGGAGTGAAAGCAGTTTGCATTTTCAAATTGTAAGGATACCCACAGATTTTTCTGAACACGTTAAAACCCTTGAGAAGAAGAAAGAGCAAGAGCAATGATTCCACATTGAGGAGATCCAGAATGAATGAGGCAAGGTAGGAGACTTCCAAGTGGAGTGTGGTGTCATCCTCCTTGATTTTTTCCAGGAACACATTGGAAAATCCCTATGGTCCTCACCCTTAAGCACGCTTTGCTTCTAAAGTTACCAGAAAGAGATGCCAGGTAGAAAACAGGGAAGCCTGTAGACTCAGGGGTAAAGGTTTTGCATTTGGAAAAAAACAAAACAAAAACAAAAGACATACCATACAACACACAAACCAGAGACAATGGCAGGAGAGTGTGCTGTACAGAAAGATGTGGCTGTCCATAAAGACTTAGAACTGAAAATGGCCACAGCATTTACCTTGTGCTTCTTGGCAGTTTTGGCAGAGCCAGTGTTGATGTCACTCTTGAGTGTGACACCTGCTTCTGGACCTACAAAAAGCCCTAGAAGGGATGGAGGTTCATTCTGATTTGAGCAGACTGTTTGGAGATCAAAAACAAAAAACCCTCCCCTCATTCTTCTGACAACTTAAACTCTTTGCCCCAGTCAGATCGCAAATCACATGCAGAGGGTGTCCCATATGCCTCAGTTGATCCCCAAGAATAACTTGAAGAATGATCCCTTATAACTTGATGAAGAATACATCTGAATCAGGGCTTTTAGGAGTCATCACTCATCGAACAACTATGGATGGCTAGGGGCACAACTAGATGGACATACGTTACATTGTGCCTCATGCCTCACAGACCCCAGCATGTGGACTGTGTACAGGGCATTTCTGCTGAAGCACTATGTCTGCTTTTCTGCATACAGCCCCATTCCTTCTCCACAAGAGACGCCTGTACCAACACATGGAGATGAGATCCTGAGAAACTTGAGGAATGCGGTAATGTCAGCAGATGCATTCCCCTTGCATCACAATGGTCTGTGGTACCGCCTCTGCACCTTGGCCCAAGACCTAACAGCAACAAAGATAAGGTGAGTGTGTTTTACAAGTCAACTCCTAATGCTCAGATCATCTTACCAAGTGTTGCAGGTGGAGGGGTTCGGGGTGGCCCCAGGGCCACCAAGGTTCAGGAGGTGGATGTGCCTAATAGTCCGTGGGGGCGGAGCACATCTAGGGTAGGGCATGCAGAATCTTCCAGTTAATGGAAGAGGTCCTCAGGATCCAGACTGCCCTGCAGAACAGAAGTGACAGCTACATTCATATGCCAGACAAGAGAACCAATACCAAAAGCAGCTGTAACCCACAGAAGAAGGTGTCAGCACCTGCTACCTTCTCTGCCACCAGGATCCAAGAGAGTAGCATCAGTACCTGAAAACTCTGTCCCTGCCACTGGATACCACCTACAGCTTGGGGTAGTAGATGCAAGAAGTTAACCTACTGTCACCACACATCACTGCCCATGTCTGCAGAAGTAAAATGGCAAGGGGCCTGTCCTAGAGGGTTAACAGAAGTAATTACAGACTAATGAAGTAGCATTCTCCAGACAGGCAGCCATCGATGTCCAGGTTCATCCTGCATCCCTCCTCTATGGTGACTCCAGATGCTCTGCTTTTGGTATATTAAGAACACACACACACACAAATGAGTGGGAATAAATGGCTCAAATTCTGCTCATGGAATCACAGCCACTCCTGGCAAAAAGTTCTGCAGCTGGACCCTCACTTTGCCTCCTCTGCTCCTCTCCCTGAGAAAAGAGCCTTCCTTCTTGAAGTGCTGTCAAAGGCTTCTGAGACCTCTGGGGAGTGGAGGATGCCTGGAATCTTGCAGGGGAATCAGAGTCTTCTGTGAGGACAAGTTACTTGTAGTTTATGTCTACAAAGCTCAGATGTGTTCATCTTAATGCATAGGGAATTCTGACTGTAAGCATACTACAGGACACAGAGTAATTATGTGCAACAGAAAAAAAGAGGTACAAATTCACATAATAGATTTAATGCAAGTGTTTTGGTATAAAACTCCTGGTATGTGTCATGAGACTGTATCAGCTCTAACAGTGATTGGGGACACAACCAGAAACTGCTCATATAAACACAATTGAAGGACACAGTGTTCAAACTATTTTTACCTAAGATATAGCTGGAAGGATTCCAGACAACTCATTTACCAACAAAGACGGGAAGGTGATGAGTGAGGACATTGACTTTATCTAAGACCACTCTAAATGGCACAGGGCACAAAATATAAAGTTGGAGTCACGATGTCGTTTTTAACAGGTTCATCTCCTAGCCAGAATCAAGAAAGGAAGACAAGCAACCACACTGTCCCCACAGAGGTGAGGTCTGGAAGGGGTCACCCAGCCCAGGAGACTTTTGTTTGGAGTGTCGGGTCATCCTCCTCTCGTTATTTCCTGAAACTCACGGAAAAACCTTAAGGTACTCCGTCTCTAAGCACTTTTGGCTTCTACACTTACCACAGAAAGCTGACAGACTAAAAATTGAGAAGCCTGTGGGCTCCTGGGTTATGGGTGTGCGTTTGGAAAACAAAGAACAAACAGACATATCACACAACACGCAAAGCGAGACAAGGCTGGGAGAGCGTGCTGTACATAAGATGAGGGTTTCCCCAAAGAGTTACAACTGAGAATGGCCCCAGCATTTACCTTGTCCTTGTCTGCATTCTTGGTACAGTCAGAGCGCTGTAACTCACAGAGGTTTCAGCAGTTTCTCGATCTACTAAAGACCCTAGAAGGGACAGAGGTTTATTCTGCTTTCAGAGGACTGGGTGGAGTGAAAACAATTCCTCATCTCATTCCTCAAATATCTTAAACTTTTCCCTACACTCAGGTCCCTGACCAGAGGCAGAGGGTATCCCACATGCCTCAGGTGACCCCCGAGGATAAGGGGGAGAACCATCCCCTCACGGTGCCCTAGTTTATGTTGTTTCATAATTAATCAAATAACTGTGGACAGGTCAGGCACAACTAGCAATTTAGAATTCATCAGTAAAACAGAGGTTTCTCAGTATACGTCATGGGAAATCACGATTTCATTACAGATCAAGAATAAACATGAGGATGCTTGGATTCAGCATCCGACTCTTGATTTTGGCTCAGGTCACTGACAGTGTGGAGCCTGCTTGGCATTCTGTCTCTGCCTCTCTCAAAGAAATAAACTTAAAAAAAAAGAATAAAATTGAGAATACTGGTTTGGTGTATATCCTCAATGAATCCTCAAGAAGGGTGCATTTCTTCAGACTTCAGGCAAATTGTTCAATCTCTCAGCTTATCTACAAGCTGCCTTCCACACGAGAGCAGTTATTATATAACAAAAGACTAATTTTACACTATTGAGAAAAGGAAAACTATGAGAATTTAGCAGTGAAGCTGCAGAGTTGCACTGATAACATCAGAGGACTAAGCTAAGCTCTATGGAACTTGAATTGAGGGATGTAGGGCTACAGTTCCCAAAAACAAACAAAAATAAAGACTGTTAAAAATAGTGAATAAATGACCTTGTCCTCAAATAAACTAAAGTCTTCACATTGAGTCTGGGTGGGAAGAAGGATGAGGACCATGTCCTGTCATCCTTTCCAGGCTCTTCAGACAGGGGGATGCTAGAGGAGGTGAGAGGGTCACAGTCAGAGGAGGGGCATGAGCTCCACCAGTCACAGGGACAAGTGCCTCACTGCCTGCGGCACCAGAGGAGAACACCGTTCTGTCACCCCTTCAGACCACCTGCTGTCCTTAGTGCTTGTGATTCTTTCCAGACCACACGATGATCATCCACAGGAAACAGGCTACACAGCAGAAATTAGACTGCGGCACATCACAACGTGCTCCTTACCTCTCCTTGGAGGATTCTGCGTCTCTGGTCTTGCAGCCATTGGTTTCTGCCTCGTGTATCCCTCAGGCAGCCTCTTTGCTTCCATCCCTTCCAGTCCTGGATACAGAAAAATAATGGACTTCTATAAGAGTTGCAACACCATGTCGTCTACTAGACAACAAACAGTGCGGGCGTCATCCCTGGCAACACCCATAAAAACGCAAGTCAAATGACCACACCTGTATTTCAAGTAAGCGACCTCCCTGCCCTGCTCCGCCATCTCCCTGTCCCAGATCTGAGTCTTGAGCTGGGGGAGAAAAGACACATCCACCTTCAGTCGTGCCAGACTGTGCACCAAAGAAAGAGGAGGAAACAAGAAAACACTTACCTAGTTGTCCTGAGCATTTTTCTTATGAACTGCAATCTGAAAAAGCCAACAATGAAAAGTCTGTGCTTAGGGATTCCAAGGGTCACTACACTCACCCGCATGAGGTGCTAAGGGTTCAGTATGTCAGTAAGAACTCAGGTTACCTGGTGTCTAAAGGTGAGCTCTGCCTGCTGCAGCCGTTCCCGTGTTTGTTCAATTTGTTGCCTGTGAGTTATAATTGCTTTTGTCAGGTAAGGCCCAATATTGGGTATGATTTTAAATAATCTGCCCACGTTCCCGTCAACCTCATATCTGTCCCCTGACACAATTTATTCTTACACATGAAACACTTCACATGATTATAAATGTACAGTAGGATCAAAGCTATTGTTACATCCTTTCCTTCCTCATTATTCCATGCCCATAGGGTTCAGAGTTCATAGAATTCCTTCCCATTTTCAATCTTTCCCTAACTCATCATGTGACAAGTGTTTTTTATCATAAAGCTCTATTCTTCTTTAACTTATATCCTCACCATGTTTCCCAGGGTTGCAAAGATGAGGACCATGAAATGGCACTACCATGTTGATGGGTATGATTCATCATACGACACACTACTCTCCTATAGATTATGACAATTGACACCACCCCCGAGGAATGTTGGCATGGACAAAGTTTCCACACAGTCTGGCCATTACTTGAGATCCACAAATGTTTAGAAAATTAATTGTTTTGTTCTAAAACTTACCTTTTTTTATCTGTTAATACTCTATGCATATGTTGACTTTAAACATTGCAAAAAATTAAAAACAAAAAAATGAACAGAGGTTTCATGAGCTGAACTCACTTGTACTTATTTTTTCTGTAGTTATTTTCTTTTTTTTTAATGTTTATTTATTTTTGAGACAGAGTGAGCACACGCATGAGCGGGGGAGGGACAGAGAGAGAGGTAACAGAATCCGAAGCAGGCTCCAGGCTCTGACCTGTCAGCACAGAGTCTGATGCGGGGTTCAAACTCATGGACTGTGAAATTATGACCTGAGCTGAAGTTGGGACGCTTAAATGACTGAGCCACCCAGGCACCCCTTCTGTGGCTATTTTCAAATTTTACTTGCAGCTGCCAGCTGATTCTTCTTTGCCGCCAGTTCACAGTGTCATTTTCAGCTTCCTAAGATGGGAAAGATATATACACAGTCAGGACCAAGATCCAGAAGTTCCCCCTTTTTACCTCGCAGCACTCTTGAAAGCCTATGCAAATATCCCTTCCCCCACCTCTCCCATAAATGCACAGACTGACAACACAATCAGAGAAATGAAGTGAACACCCCATTTAAGTTAAAGAAAATTCAACTTCTGTCTGCTGCCACGTCTCTGCTATCGGAACTGTCTTTCTAGTTCTGTTTCCTCTCCTTTATCATAAAGTCATCAAATTACATTGCACTTTGTGCCTTCCCAGAGTTGGTCTTTTGTTTGAGATGGTGAAGACTCATTTCATCAGTGAGTGAAAAACCATGTCTGTCCAACTGTACCCATTAGGATGAAGCAGGGGATCATCACTAGTCTTACACCTGCATGGAGAGCCCTGATTCTCAGTCCAAAAGTTGTACCATGACACAGGCAATCACCCTGAAAGACGACCTTCCAGGATATGGCTTCCCTAACATTGCAGCTCACTCCCAGACATCGCTAGAGTTCTGGACTGCAACCCCTGCCTCCACCTTAACCTATCCTGGTGGAAGAAAAGGCCAATTTTAGAGCAACATCTCCTGAAGTACAACCTGATATGAACTGTCACACAGTCTGGGTTTACTTCCAGGAAACAGATTTCAGATGGAAAACTCTCAACTTCATGGAGCCAAATCTACTTTAACAAGACTGATTCCATTGATAGTGAAGGAAGCAAAAGGCAATGCTTGGCAAGGCTGGGTGGCTGTGTTGCCTTCAGACTATTTTCTTTGTGGTGTTGAGATTGTTTCAACTTGACACTTGATGTACTCAAGAATCACATGCAAAATTGAAAAATCTCTTAGAAAATGACACAAAAGCACTAGACAGAGAAAGTCACATGATTTTCCTTCTTGCATCTCAGGCAGTCCCTCAGCAAATGCTTTCTGGAGTGGTTGTAATGTAGTGGCTCCGTTGTAAGGGGTTGAAGATAGAGGGGGGTGGTCAGGGTGCTATACTCACTCACAGAAAGAGCTTACGAATTAACAAAAACAAGATGCCAGTGAGAAAGAGCAGGCCCTAACCCCACCTGTGGGAAGGACTAACATAAAGGTGAGTGTCCAGGGAAGAGAAGGAAGACTTCACTTTCCAACACGAGTGAGGGACTCTAAAGTGCCTGATCTCCTCCTGAGAACAAAAGGAAATACTGTACAAAGGAGGAAGCATGTGACTGAATGCACCAAATATCTAACAACCCCACAAAGACACACAAGACCAAGATGGAGAAGAAGGAAGCCCAGGACAAAGCCAGCCTGGCAGTTGGACCCAAACTCCCTAGGACTCATCATTGATGTGGGGGGCATACATTTGAATGGCAAAGAAGCTGAAAAACTTTATGGGCACAGACTTAGAAGTCAATAAGTGTAGTTCAGGGGCGGCCAGCAAACATGAGCCCTAGTGAAGCTGCGGGCTTTGGTCAAGACTCAGAAGAGTTACACTTAAAAAATCAGGGGACAGGAAACAACTTGACTTTCTGAGGGATTGGGCCTGCAGTGAACAATCTCACTGGCAGAATGGATGCAGGAATCCAGTACTGCTGGCACCCCTACCCACTTTCCAAAAAGCAACTTCTATTGTTTCTGCAATAAGATAATTCAATTTTTTCCCCACACATTTTTGACCCATGTCTGGTCCTGAACAAAAATGACATAATTGCTGGATGACAAAACAGTGTGATGCAATTGAAACCTATAGGACAGTGTAGGTGGATCCAGAGTGGATCCAGGTATCAACGTTATTAATGATGGTACCTTCCCTCTTCTGCCCCAAATACATGACACAATATGTGGCAAGCACTTAGGACAGAAAGGAAAATGCAGGTTATGTTACAGAAAGCAAGGTAGGAAGGGAAGGCACAATTCTGCTGAATGCATTTGGCAAAAATACTCTGGACCCAGTTCCAAAAGAAATATAATTATTTCTACTGGCCGCCACGTTCTCCCATACAATGCAGTCCTTGTGAGAGTTCTCACATGAACATCTTACTTTTCTAAAATTTTTTAACATTTATTTTTTGATAGCGTGAGTTGGGGAGGGGCAGAGAGAGAGAGGGAGATATAGAATCCAAATCAAGCTCCAGGCTTGAACTGTCAGCACAGAGCCTGAGGCGGGGCTCGAACTCACGGACCATGAGATCATGACCTGAGCCGAAGTTGGACATTCAACCGACTGAGCCACCCAGGCACCCCCATCTTACTTTTATGTAGGCACTTTTCTTTGTTCATAGAATTCTTCCAGGTTATGTGCTTTCTCCTTCAGCTGTTTGACTTTTGCTTCTTTTGTGGCTTTCATAGACCTCAATGCATTACACTTGTCTTCCAGGGCCTTTTTATTTTATGGAAAAAAAAAAAGGTGTTTTCTTGACAAACGTGCACATGACCTGAGTCTTGATTTTGGTGAGACAGAAAAAGGGCAAGAACCATGAAGGCATGAAGGTATTCTTTCCCTTACCAATGCCAAGTCATTGCCATCATATGGGGATTTCTCCCCAACAGAAAATATACCTCCTAGTTGACAGTTATTGGACCTCAAGGCTCTTAGCTCTACACCCTCAAATTCAACATTTGCATCTTGTGGTTAAGACAAATATGAGGAAAGATTTTCAAGGAAAACTGATCGCACAACAATTTCAGTGTACCTCACACAGCAAGATCGTGCATTGCAATGAACAAAGACCTTGAGGCATGAATATAACTAGAAGACAAAGATGGTGGAAAATAGTTCATGTCTAACAACTCATAAATGGCTTTCTTAGTGGTATACATATGTGTGTGTGTGTGTGTGTGTGTGTGTGTGTGTGTGTATCGCCCCATTCACGTTGAAAATTCACTGTTCAGCATTCAGAGAGAAAGAGACTATGGAGCACCTGGGTGGCTCAGTCAGTTGAGCATCAGACTCTTGATTTTGTGTCAGGTCATGATTGTAAGATCATGCAATCCAGACATGTGTTGGGCTCCACCTTGAGCGTGAATCCTGCTTAAGATTATCTTGCTTTCCCTCTGCCCCTCTCCCTCACTTGCATGCCCCCTTCACTAAAATTAAAAAAAAAATCATAAAGAATAACTTAAAAATATTTTTTAAAAGGGAAAGGATTATACACTTTGGCTATCACCCTTTCTCTCTCAACTATATTTGGGTATTTTCTACATATCTTGGAGGGCAGAGTTGAATGATATGATAATTACCTAGTTGTGAAAATAAAAGATAACTCCTAGTCCTTGAAATAGCAAAACTCATCATGGTGGTTCAAGTAAAATTCCAGCTCATTGCTCAGAAAGAGGTTTGGCTCCCAGAGGCCTCTACTGTGGTAAACAGCAAGCAAATATGCTGTGCTCACTTCACCCAATGAACAAAAAGCCTCCAAAGCCAAATTATAGTAAAACTCAGCAGCCAACTCTTACCACTTCGTGATTCTTCACATTCCTTTCTCTCTCTCTGAGTTTGCAAGGTAGCAAGTGCACTTTTAAGGGTGTCATTTAAAACTTCATTAAAGTGGGTGCCTGGGTGGCTCAGTCAATTAAGCATCCGACTTTAGCTCAGGTCGTCATCTCCTGGTTTGTGAGTTTGAGCCCTGTGTCGGACTCTGTGCTGACAGCTCAGAGCCTGAGGTCTGCTTTGGATTCTGTGTCTCCCTCTCTCATGCGCTCTCTCTCTCTCTCTCTCTCTCTCTCTCTCTCTCTC